AAAGCAACATTTAATCCCTAAGTACTGATCACAAAAGTGTTTGAATGAAAAAACAAAAGAATCAAAACAAAAGACTTCAGTTCTTCAATGACGTAAGAACACTGAAAACTGAACAATGAAAATAAAACCTAAAAAGGCTTGAAGCTCAAATATTGAATGGAAGATGATGATTTCAGCAGCCTTAGATTCGATCTTCAAGTAGAGTATATATACAACTCCTTAGGCTTTGAGTCTTCTCCAAGTTCTTTCCTTCTTTCACGATGTCCTTTGATCTTCTTCCCAAAAATAGTGTAGTAACATGGAAAGTAAATCTTCCTTGATGTAGAATTCGTGTATGTGATTTGGAGAACTTCAGAATTGAGTTTCCAATGGAAATCTCGTGGTTCTAGACTCGTGTAAGAACATAACTTTCCTAAAATAGCCGATCTTCCAAATCTTCAAAGATCTTGTGGTGAATCTTTCCAAATCCTCCTTAGATCTTCTAGAGAACGTCCAGAATTCCTTATGCACGAATTGTTCATCCTTTCAGTCTTTGTCATCTATTCCTTGTCCTACAAGAAACAGAAAACTAATTATATATGGCATAGAATCAAGTTCAATAATGCATGTGGCATATATGGTAAGTAAATATATAAGATATATATTATGTAATCATTCTCCTAAAGGTTTAGGACTCCATAATCCACATTATAATAAATATATAACATATATTATCAATAATAAATAATAGGAACTTAATTAATTAACAAGTAAATAAATATAAACTTCCCTTTAATTTATTTTGCTTGTCTAACAAGAAAATTTTCTAGAAAACACTTAGATTTTTTGGATGATGCCAAACCAATATTCTTACAATCTCCCCCTTTGGCATTCAGTTCGAAAACTGTGTTTCTTGAAGATAACCTACAAAATAAACTCCAAACAGTAAAGCAAATATCTACGTTCGAACATCAGGAAGTAAACTACTCAAACACTTGCAACGTAAGAATATCAGAACAGTTCCTATCAATACAACTATGAGGACTATAATCAGAGCAATCAAAACACATCAAGCTATCAGAACCTAAGACAAACAGAATGACCAATACATCTCCCCCTGTCAGAATAGTCAAAACAATCAAACAGCAAGACACAGACATTCTTACGTCCTGCAGAAACATGACAAAAACATCATCCGAAAATAATCAGAAGCAAACAACTAGAACATTAATTTACCGTATTAGCCTTAGGTTATCTATAGCCCTAATTTTGTGTATATATTCTTAGTTTATAGAGAGTCGTAAGATCAGATTGAGATGATCAATTTCCCGATTTCGTCTTGTCTCTTTTGTATCAAATACTAGGAAAATAAAGAACACAAATGTAGAAACCGGAGATAAATTTTTACTACATTTTCTCTCCTTTATTTCTTTCTCTTCTTTCTTTCTTGTATTTCTTGTATGTACATGCTCAATAAATTGAGCCAGTGTTCTAAAAATCGGCCTAGGCGGCGCCTAGACGCTAGGCGGCGGTCTGCCGCCTACGATTTGTGAAAATCGGCCATAAAAATGGGCCAGGCGGGCTAGGCGGGTCTAGGCGGAGCTAGGCTGTCTCGGCGGCTACGCGGTTTCAGCAGGACTAGGCGGCTGAGGCGGGTTCTCGGCGGCGTGACAGATTTTTTTTTTAATACTAAGCAACGAAATGACGGTGTTTAGCTTAAATGTTAATAAAAAAAAAAATAGAAAAACGGGCAGAGTTAAATATATTAATAGAATAGAAGCAATTTACAAACAGAAAGTCAGAAACCTTCGTCGATTTCCTACTCCCATTCATCGGCCTCCAGTTCCATTCGCTTGCGCCGGACTGCCTATCTCCGTCGAATTTCGTCGCTCGTCCACCAGAGCACAAGCTTTACGCCGGGCCTCATGTATTATTTTATTTTGGACTCTTGTGAATCTGTATTCTGTAGCTGTAAGTTTTGAAATATGAAAAGAACATTTTAGTAATTACTATTATTTATTAATCATTTAGTCTGTAAAGAACTTGTTTATGTTTAATTGTTTATATAATCCCACTTGATTAACTTTGTAAAAGCCGTTGGGCAGTGGGCAGTTCACATAAATTTTTATTCCTTATTTTGTTTTGTTATTAATGTGTTTTATTATATTATTAGCTATGTTAATGTAATTAGGTAATTACCTGCTGTGAATTGTGATTAGTGAAACTGAAATTTGATGTTTATTTGGTTGCTATAATTCTATTATGTTGTGTAATGTTTAAACTTTAAAACATAATATGTAGATAATGTGTTTGATGAAATTACAATGAGTAGAAATTAGTAAATATTTAAAACTTTAAATTTGAAAAATGAAAAAAAATAATAGTAGTATAATTTTATGTTCATTGTACATTTGTGTTCTTTCTTGCAACAACCTTACATATGTATTTTCCCACTCTTTTGTTTTTAGGATTTCTCAATGGCATGTGCTAGTACAATCTTGTGGTCATATGGGTTGTTAATTGCTATCATGTTTTCATTATAGTATTATATTAATAATATTATTGCAACTTAGGTGTATGGATTTATTAATTATAAGTTGTAATTTCACTAGTAAAATTATGAAAATAAATAAAAAATAATATATTTATTATAATTTCTGGGCCCCGACTAGGCGCTGGTCAAGCGCCTAGCGACTTCTAGAACACTGATTGAGCCGCAAAACTTTTGTCACCTTTCTTGACATTTTTACATAATGTACTATTTATAGTCTAATTTGTACAATAGTCCATTATTCACAACATAGTCTAATTTGTACAAAGGACTATTGTTAGTCCATTGTTTACAACAGCATTCAGCTTTTTTGTCTAATAACAATTGCTATGTTATCATATCACTAGTACAGAGCCCGTGCGATGCACGGGGTGCACAATTTTAGGGCTATTTATCCAGGCTTATAATTATATACATGAATAAAGAATAATGTACGGGATATATATAGTACGTGACCCGTGCAAAGCATGGGATATATTTATTTGGAGAATATTATATTATAAGATGCAATATTCAATAAAAGTTTATAATACGCAAGAAAATTGTACAATGTTCAATAAAAGTTTTACAATATTCAAGTGGAATCTTAAAGTCTCTTATACATTAAGACTACTGATAAAATAATATTTTAATCAATGAGTTTCCTTTCCTTGTAGCCAAATTGTGAATGTGATTTGAGGAGTACAACAAATCGATATATAGCTCACTTGCTTTTTTCATTGTAGTTTTTTTTCTTTTTTTTTATAATGAATTTAAAGATATTCTAAAATATAGCAAAATCTAATTTTTTTTATTACAATTAAGAATTTTACTAAATATAAACTCTCAATCTATGGTGTTAATCAACGTTTAAGTCTAAAAAATTAGGAATTTTTACCTCTTTTAATCAACGTTTAAGTCTAAAAAACAATAGAGTTATTATAAGTTTTTTTTCTACATCTTTTAAAACATTAAATATGAGCATGTTTGGGCTAGCTTGTAAAATAATTAATATATTATCTCACTAAAACATTTATTCTAATAAAAAGTTAATTTTAGCATATAAATTTATCCTTTGATATAAAAGAAAGTAACAGTTTTATTTATTGTTGTTCACCATATAATATTTAATTATTATTTTATTATATGATAAAAAAGAAATATTGTTAAATAGTGTAGTAGAATTGCTATAAAATTATATGATTTTTTTTTACAATATAGATTTAATATTTTTTTTATGATTTGATAATATAAAACAAATCTATACTTAACTTTGACAAATAAAACAAATAAATACTTTAGTAAGTATTTAATGTATATACTAAATAGTAATATATTTGGTATAATCAAATACCAAATATAATCAAATAAGTCAAAGTGTACATTTTTATTTGGTATTTAATTTTTTTATTATTAAAATCTTTTTATTATACTTACCTTTTTAAAATAAAATAAATAAATCAATCAATTAAATAAATAAAATATTATAATACCAAAATAGTAATGACATTTAATGCAGTTGACTTTTCTGGATAGTAAATATAATAAATAGAATCTTCTTTTATATAAGTATAGATTGTATAATAAGGAAATAGTAATGCAATAAATATTATAGTAAACATAGTAAATAGAATCTCCTTTTATATAAGTATAGATTGTATAATACGGAAATACTTTTATTTAAGTATAGATTGTATAACACGGAAATAGTAATGCAATAAATGTTATAGTAAATATCTATCATTATATAAAAAGAATAACCTTTTTATAAATTTAGAAACTTTTTCCCGCCAAAATCATTAAATATATCTTAATATAGTAATTGTTGGACAAATCTAAATAGACAAAAAAATTGGCTCATTTTCTTTAGTTTATCAAAACCGTTGTTTGACAATAAATATTTGTTTTTCTTTTTCCTATTTTTAGTATAAATCTACACGCTTATCTCTTTTGTTACAAAATCCCATTGCATACGTCTCCCGTATTTAAAAAAATTCATCCCTTACCTATACAGATTTAAAAAAATAAAATAAAATAGAAACCAATTCATAATTACTATTAGAAATCCATTATCTTTAAAAAGAAAAAATAAATTAAAATAGAAATCAATTCATAATTACTACTGAAAATCCATTATCTACTTTAAGAAGCTAATTTTTATCTTACTAATATTTTTACAAATATTATAAGCTAACCATACAAAAAGGTATAATAATAATTTTGAAATGGTGTGTAATCAAATTTTTTTATATTATCTTATACAAAATAATTTTACATTGTTTGACCCCAATCTTTAATCTATAATTATTAAGTATTGTTTATCTTCTTTTTTAATTTATAATTATTTTTTTTGCTTCCTTTTTTTAAATAGGATCAATAGTAGTTTCCACTTCTGTTATTGAGTGACTCAAACTCAAGGTCTATTTATAATATTGTTAATTTAATATTGTTTCCGTGCATCGCATGGGTATACACTAGTAGTAAATAGAATCTCTAATACGCGAGGGCTCACAATACAGATGTTCTTATCCTAGAAGCGGTTAATTGTTGCTCTGAAGATGGGGGAGAACTACACAACCATCAAAATCGAGCAGAAATCTGCCAGTTCTCGAGTTTTCCACCTGCTCATCAATCGACCATCGCGTGGTAACGCTCTCTCACATGAATTCTTCGCTGAATTCCCCGCCGCTCTGTCCGCGCTCGACCAGAACCCAGAAGTCGGCGTCATCGTCCTTGCCGGCACCGGCAATCACTTCTGCGCCGGAATCGATATCCAAACACTGAGCTTCACCACACAGGACAGTGGATCAGGGGACAGAGGACGCGCCGGCGAGAAGCTCCGGCGGGGGATTAAATTCCTACAAGCAGCGGTGACGGCGATTGAGGAGTTCAGGAAGCCGGTGATTGCTTCTGTTCATGGGGCGTGCGTTGGAGCAGGTGTTGATATAATAACGGCGTGCGACCTGAGGTATTCGACCGAGAATGCGATGTTCTGTGTGAAAGAGGTGGACTTGGCGATTGCAGCGGATCTTGGGTCGCTCCAGAGGCTTCCAGCTATTGTCGGATTTGGTAACGCCATGGAGCTGGCTTTGACGGGTCGGAGCTTCTCGGGCGCGGAGGCTAAAGAGCTGGGACTGGTGACCAGGCTGTTTAGCGATAGGGAAACTTTGGAGAAAGGGGTTGCACAAATCGCGGATGGTAACTTGATAAACTTATTGCTTCTTCTTCGTCTTTTTCTTCATTTGGAAAATGGAATTTAAATATTGCAATAATAGGAAGTTATGGAGGAGCATAGCTGAAAATTTGGATGCTTTATTGTTGTTGTTTGGTAGGTATAGGTGCAAAGTCTCCTCTTGCTGTAATTGGGACTAAGCGTGTACTGATACAGAGCAGAGACATTACGGTGGATCAAGGTTTGGATTATGTTGCTACGTGGAACTCTGGAGTACTTGTATCAGATGATTTAAAGGAAGCAATATCTGCTCACCTGCACAAGAGAAAACCTCGTTATGCTAAGCTTTAAAACTTTTAGATCCCCTATGCTATGCCCCAAGTCTACACCTTTTTCCCCCTGTAAGACTCCTATGTTTGATCTGTAATAAAATTTCGTGCATCATTCTGCAAGAATGGTTTTGTTGTGGCTTTCTGAATGTCCAGCTCAATGTGACAGCGATATGTTTGGTACTAGTTCATAGTTTGAGATAAAATTTTTAAATATTATGATAATCGTGCCTTGTTTTCCAATCCCTCTCTCTGGAATATTGGATGATTGATTTTGTAGTTGGTACATACTCGAATCCAATGTGTATATATTAGCTGGCTCCTTAATCTTATCATCATCAAGCTTTAAACTTGTTGCTTTTCAGTTGGGTAGGTAATCATTCAGCGACAACCATTTGCTCTTGTGAGAATAATGTATTTATTGCCTTGAGTTTTTCTGTCATTATGTTGAGCCATCTCCATTCTCCTAGCACTATCTGATTATCTCAATATTCTTTGGTGAAGCTATGTTCTGTACCTGTAATTGCTAAACCTCATTTTGTATATCAATGTTAAGTAGCAATGATTCAATTGACAATCTTACGCTTCTTGACCAATATAAGTAGCTACTAAAAAGGTATGGCTTTCTACTTCAAAATTGGAACTTTCTACTTCAAAATTGGAACTATAAAGTTGATTGAAAAGTTGACAGATCTAGGGGCAACCATGGAGTCTTTTTTGATACTCAGATGTTGTGACCCGACTTTGTGGTACAGAGGCCAAAATGGGTGTATTTTAGTCCGAAATCCTGACTTGCTCATTGGTAAAGCATACAACTATATATCAGTTTGTGCATTGCAGAGAAGGTAAACAAATGTGTATCTTGTAGGGTAGTTTATATTCTTAGGGGAGGTTCGGGAAGTTGTATGGAAGTAACAAGTCTTATCTGTGATATGGACGGATAGCTGTCCTAGAATAAATTTTATTTTTGCTTGTTTAGAAGCTGTGACAATCTAGTAACTGATTATGTATGCATCCTTATTTGTGTTTTTAAGCTCAAATTTATAATTTGCTTCTATGCTTGCCCCATCTGACTATCTGAGGGCAACTGAGTAATACTGTAGCCTTACTTTTTTTTTTTTCAAGGATGTCTCTTTGAAGCTCTCCAAGAACTCTTTGACTGAAAATACTGTTATAATGATAAAATGCTCATGGCTAAAGCTAAAATGCTCTTATAATGATAATATTTTCCATGATATTCTTAGAGGAGGCAGAGCTTATAGTATTTCTTGAGAACTAGAGAGAGAAAAAGAAAACCAACAAGCTCATTTAGTCTGATAAGCAGCTTGCCACCTTAATAGCTCCAACATTTCATTGATAAGATACAAATCTAGAGCATGAGTTCTAATATTATTGTAAGCTCTCGAGTCTCTTAATTTAGGTGTCGATGAAAACTGAGGTCACAACACAAGCACTCGCATGGTTGGGTGATATGCTTAAAGGGGAGGAGACATTCAAGTTGTAGGTCAAACTTGTCCTTGAGTTGTAGCATATAAAAAGATGATCGAGTAAAATGGTTTCTTTGATCTCAAGTAACAATAGTCTGTCTACTTTACGTGTAATTTATGTTTTGCTGCTATTACTGCATTACTGCAGCTTCATCCTCACCTGCCTCAACACATCCATAAACCCCACCACCAGCCACACCATTGTAAGAATACAGATTTAAAAACTTGTTACATTCTATATTTTTCTCGGTGAAGGTGAATCATATGTTGAACTTGATCATAAAAACGTCAACACTTGTGCTTATGGGCAGAATTTGATGATGTCTATCNTTTATTTGAACATATGCAACGTTTAAATAAATTCTATTGCAATTGGGGTGGTGCTTGTGGGGAAGAATGGCTATTTCCTTGACGATTTTGCCAGGGGTTTCAACTTTCAAGATCCTCTTGGTTGTGTAGCATGCAAATATACAGAATTAGCACATTGTTTATTCTAAGTAATTTAGAAAATTTGTGGTATTCTAGTGAATTTTGTATGACGTCCAAAATTTTAGAAATAATGCAACTTTTTCCAAAAAAAAAATAAAAAATCCATGGTACAAGTTACAGATAATTTTCACAATTCGTATTGGGATACACAAATTTTTGTATGAGACGGACTGAATTTTAGGCTAATGGACCAATCATAACATTATAACAAAAATACATACTTATAAAATGTCTCACTTTTGTTTATATTGTTTTTAAAATATGATATTTCAGTTGAAAGTTGGAAAATTACGGTTTTCTAACCTTGTTCACATTATTTTCTACTTATCAAGCTATTAGAACTGGTATGTTCCTTATCAATTTATTAAAAAGAAAAATTTGCTAAAACTTATCCACTTTTAGTGAAGTTTCTTTTGAAAATCACCAACCAACTTTCTTTACAAAAATGGAGTAGACTCTGCGAAGAGGGAGGTGGTTGCGAGGGAAGCAGTAGCAAACCCTCAAGGGCATTCATTAGTGTTCTCAAGATACCGCTGGCTTTGAATGTTTTTATATCTGTTCTATTAAGGTTAAGAATTTAATTTGCTTATGACAAACTTCTGCCAATGTTGGGACTATTTTTCAAGGCACTTCTTTCATCCGTTAGGACTTAGGATCCTATTTTTCAAATCGTGGGTTTGATCTCTTGCACGAGTGCTTTATTTACTAAAAACGGCTACACTGTAAATATGTAAATGCCACAGTGAGACAGACCTATTTTACGCACAAAACTATGAAAGGAAACACAAGGTGTAACATGTATTTGTAAGCGAAAAATCTCATCCTAAATATTACAACACAACCAAACAAGATAAAGACATTGTTAGACACATCCCATATTAAGAGCCTTCCATATGTACAAAGTGGTGAAAGGGAAGAGTTGGAGTAGGCACGCAAGCGGTAAGTTGAGGTCACTCCTAATATTATGTGCCGTAATGCAAATAATGCACCTGAGACCACACTTGAAATTGTGGCCATACTGTAAAGATTGCACCTATGCATTAAATATGCTCTCTTTTTCAAAATTGGCACTTACTTGGTATTCCTTTGTCTTGTCAAAATTGGGCCCTGTATACCTTGTAACTATTACAAAAGGAAACCCCAAGGTTTGAGGTGACAACTGCTTACAATGGCACCATGAGAAGCAGAGAAACTATTATCAAAGACGTGCTTTTACAGTAAAATGTTGGATGACATTTTTTGCTCCTCAACAAGATCCATAGTTTTGCAACCAGCGCCATTATGTAAACCTAATGAAACAGAAGCATTAAAATAAGCCTACAAACTCATACTAAAGATTCTTCCATGTATTAATAAGCCCCAGCTCAAACGAGAGTACCCTCAGCATATTCGAAATGAGTGCCACTTACTATAAGTGACGCCTATGATTTTAGGAAAAACCGTGTTGTAGATTAACTGTGTCCCTAGTCAAACAGAGGGCAAGACATGGTTTCCACTGAATAAATGAAAACTTCTGTAGCAGAAGACTTAACTTTAATTCTGGTATATAATTTTTGAACTCCTACAAGTAATTGCCTACCAATATTTTCAAAAAATACTGTTTACTTACTCTCATTTTTCTCCCATTAATCACAACACACATGTTTACTTAGTCTCATTTCTCCCTCACTAATACACTTCACATCCACGGACTTTTCTGCCATGAAAGAATCATTATTAGAAAACTTCACTATTTTATTGACTCACACATTTACTGGTACCAAGGAGTATTATTTACTCTTCCCATATCACATGAATATTATGCTTCTACATAATCAAATCACTTTTCCTCCATAAAATCCCATTACTACTCTCTAGTAGAAACAAAGGGGAAAAAATCAAACAAAAATGTACACAATGTAGTCAAAATGAGACCAGCTACTGCATGTGTTTCTACATTAAAGTAGCACCCACGGCAGAAGGCTTAGGAGGAAAGCTGTAGAAAAGTAAACTATAGCCACGAGATAGACTATATGACTAACTGTCAATTCCAAACCGTCTTGCATCTACCTAACTGATAAATGTGCACCATCTAGAGACCAAAAGACATAAAAAGAATCAAACATTTTAAAAGGGGATTCCTCAATCCATATTACCCAGTTGGCCTAAACTTGTATCGTTTACTTGGGACCTCAAGTTATTTAATTGTCAAGGAAAGTGGTAAAGATAATAAGAATATGACAATGTCAAAGGAAGGCCACCTAGAAATTTCCATAGCACAGCATTTTCCCATCTTTCTTACATCCTCATTTTGTAGTTTGTACATGATTCTATCAAAACTAGGAACTCATGAAAATAGACAATAAAGAAATCCTAAGTCGAAACTAAGCTACCCCTACAACATTAAAAGATTGATTATATAAGCTGCTGAGAAGAGAAAATAAGAGGAGAAAACACACACCAAAAAATAGTAATGAGCTCATACACTATATAACTTCAAGTGAAACCTCTACGCAGTTTGAGAATTGAGTTGTACATTTTCCTTCGAGATCCAACTGCATTGATCCCCATATCCTTGAGATCCTCCAAAGTTAGCATAGGCAAAACCTCATCATCAACCTCGTGTATCTCAAAGACGGGGGAATACCTCCCCAGTCCGAACCCAATCAGCCATTCCCTCACTCCCACGTTCAACATCTCCGGCGAAGTAACCTCATTTTGACGCAGTCCATTGCTTTCTGATCGATTTCTCACCCTGCACTGATCCCAAAATTGCAAACCAGCGTGCTCCACGGAGTTAACTGGGCTTTGCTGTTCATTCAACAAGGGACTTTCAGTACCTCAAATTCTCGAAGATCCTCATTCATATACTCATTTTGTTCTTCCAAAGCGTTAGGGAGTGCTTGTTTATGAAATATTTCATTCAAAATGAATTATTTTAATTAATTAGAATTAATTTTAAAAAAAATAGTATGGTTAATTGTTATTAGAATTTTAATAATATATTAAAATAATATTTAAAATAAAATAATTATTAATGATTTGATGTAAAAATAAGATAAAATGATTGAAAATAATAGATAGTTAAAATTATGTAAGTGGATGAATAGTGAATTAAAGTTGATGTGATATGTAAGAATGATTGGTTTATAATATTTAATTATATAAATAATATAAATGATAGTGGGGTTGAGTTAAAATTGAGTTAGATTTTGAGTGTGAAATGAATTATTTCATAAACAAGCATGCCCTTGGATATAAATCAAATGAGTTTTGACTGATTTTGATTGAATTTTTAGGTTAAGTATAATTAATTTTAAAAAAAAATGATTGAGTTAGGTTTCAAGTAAGATTTTGAGTTTGTATTAAATTAATATTTAAAAAATAAAATGATTAAAGTTAATTTGATGTAAAAGTAAGAAATAAGTGATTGAAATTGATGAGTGGTTTAAATAGTGAACTAAATTTGATGTGATGCGTGCAGGTAATTGGTTAATATTATTTAATTATAT